TGAGGGAGTACTTGAGTGGAGGCCCAATGTCCTTCTGCTACCTTAATACTAAACCTATAAATATAGGCACATAGATCTATTTCCCCACCCTCATATAAATATATTTGCATATGTACATGTCTTTATCTAGACCTCTATAAATGCCCTTTATTTAGCTTATATTTTCACTCTTATAGTGGATCTCATTGAAGGGGGGTGGGGCTGTGGAATAAAAGGTTTGCATTTGATTATTGCTCAAATATGTTCAATGCTATAGTAAAGCCACATAACTATATCTATTCTATATCTGTATCAATTCTGTCTCTATCTCTATCTCTACCCTACCTACATCTATGCCTTCATATATATAATGAAACAATTAAGAATCAAAGTACCTGGTATTCCTTAGACATAACCAGTTACCTTATGAGACTAATTTTCTTGGTTTTGAGATTTAGAGTCATAAATCTCATGGAACAACGCAGTCCATTGGCACAGTGTAATTCATGAGGTTTCTGTTCTTCATCCTGCTCGAGTGAGCAGCATCTAAAATCTTAAAAGCTATGTGAAAGCCATTCCAGATGTCAATAGTGGTCTTCATGCCTCTAGAGCAAAAGAAAAAGAAGGAAGCCCAAGATTCAGAGAATGAATCTGGCAATAGGGCTAATTATCTACAAGAACCAGGTCTTCCACCCAAGACTCAAAGAACTGGATGGTACCTTGCCTGTAAGTCAATCAGAACCAGAGCAAAAAAGATGGATCCTGACAGAAAAGTTGAAAGCAATGTGGACCAAAACTTCAAATTCTCAAAATATCCATACTTACTGGACTCACAGAGACGGGAAAGAGCCCCCAAATGTTCCCATGAGATATTCTTTAAGCCTTGAGCAGAAATTATTCCCTTAAATCCCCCTTTAATAGATAAATAGAAGGTTAGCTCATAAGGTAATGAATATTATCCTTGACGAGTGCACTAGTTGACAAAAAGATTCTCTATGAGGCCAAGTGGTCGATTAATAGTCTGAAGCATAAGCGGTGGGGGTGGGAGGGTGGGGAATGCATAGATGACAATGGAGCAACTAAAAAACAAATCAATGATGAGAGTCTTTTTTTTATTGTTCTATTAGGGGCTCATACGACTCTTTTCACAATCCATACACACATCAATTGTGTAAAGCACATTTGTA